CTTTTTTTTCCCCCAAACAAAATATACCTTAAAATTTTGTGAAGGAAATGCAATTTAGTGTTTTACCATTCCTTGTCTCTCTGACAAAACAACATTTGTAGAGACTTCATCCACAGATCTTTTTCTGGACATCCCTGAGGAAAGCCAAGCCACTGCTAGAACCTCACTGATAATTTTGAAGTAGAAGAGCAACAGTGTGCATGAAAGCGAAACCTGATGTCACATCCAAACTAAAAGAGACCCAAAAAATATCTTTCCTTATCAGACTCCTAAGTCTTCTCTATCAGGTCCTCCTTGCATTTTCTTGATGACAGAAAGGTAACAAGAAAGAGGAGGCCATGATTATGCTTACAAGAACTTTGTATTTAAGTCTAGTTTTGGGGTTTTTTTCACTTGTCAGATTCCTCATAAACCAGTGTCCCTTCTGCAGGACCTCTTTCTTATATACTGCTTAAAATCAAATAATGTCCTTCTAAAAGCCAAATACCTATGGTATTTCTTGATGTGGACAAGGGAATGCAGAACAGTTTAAGAGAGCTGCTGTGCTCAGCCAGCAGAGACATTCTGGGGTCTCTGAGACTACAACCTAGGACTCCAGTAGACAGGGGTGTTTTACTGCATCAGGAAGGTCCCCTCTCCTGTTTTGAGCAACATGCATCTAGGAGAGGTCAAGAGCAGTGGCACTCACGGTGAATCTGGTGTGCCCTATGCTCTGTACTTTCTCAGGACTGTTTTGGAAGTCTGTGTCCTCAAGTGAGCAATTAGTCATGTTTATTCTTTCCAAGTCCCTAAAAAACCCAAAATGAAAGAATTACTTACCTAAACTGAGTTCCTGATCCACTCACCCTAGCTGGCAACTAGATGCCAGCTTTTTGCCAAGTGCTATGGTATATATGAAGGGGGAAGAGATGTCACGGTAAAATAGATTTTAAAAAATTCAAAAGAGGTAAAATAAAAAACGTGTAATAAAACAATACAGTCGAAGTATATTAACAAGATAAAAAATGCCAGGTAGTCAATTAACCAGTTTTCAAATTTTTATGTCACAAACAGTATCTAAGCTCCTAATATCTTCTGTTTGAGCTGATTGAGAAATTCTTAAATACACACAGAGTCACAAGGAACTAAGCTCAGCTTTCTTCCAGTTCAAGAGTCTGTTCTTGTAAATTAAGATTTCAAGGCTGAGGCATATAGATTTTCTTAACTTCATTTGAAATCTTTTCAACTTCTCATGTAATAATATTCACAACATTTTAAGGAGAAAAAAAAAAGGACTTGAGACAACAGTATTGTGTTTGTTGGTACATGATGATAGATTTGAAGAGCTACTTTCTGGTAAGGACCATTACAACATTTTGACTGTTTTGTCATAAACTGAGATCATTACATTTCTTATGATTTTCACTGTATTCAGCCTAACAACTTCCATTTCACTCAATTGCACAGAAAAGCTGGTGTATATATATTGTATGTGTTCATATAGAACAGTACAGGTGAATAATAAGGTTTAGCACTGAAGTGAGGGTTAGATTTGGCAAACAAGAGGATTCAACCTAATGAACTGAGGAAATATTTTCCAAGGGAGCAATTCACCTTAAACACTGTGGGGTGTTTCTTTCTAAAAATCAATATTAAGGATGAAAAATTCAGTCTTAATTTAAATCTGAGGGCTAACTCAAAAAATTAGTAGACTGAAGCTAATTAAATACAGTAGCGATTATGTTCCCAAGTGGCCTGCACAGTTGCAATAATAAGACTATATTAAGTTCTTCCAGACTTCTCTTGGTCTAGGACTGTCAGGTATCATCTGGATATGTTTGACTTAAGGTTATGAACAACGTGATAGTTAGAGAAAAGATAGAAGGAAGAGCTCAGTCAGACAGAAACTAAGAAAATCATTTTGGCATTCGTAGAAGTGCCACTTAGTCATCTTGTTTTGCTCAACTGAGCTTGTAGTACTCCTACCAGAAGGAAACAGGAGTAACCCAGCAGCCCAGTCATGGGCTAAATCAGCTAAATCAGCCATGGCCCCACACAGCTGCTGAAACTGATGACAAAATGAGTCCTCAAACAACATTAGTTTTCTATTTGTGTAAGAATTCATCTGAACTGTGCAATTGCCTAAGACTTCTAGTCTGAGCTGATACCTAAAATGAGCCTTAACTGGAAGCACAACTTGTGTCAGCCTCAGAAATAATGTTTCAGGAAGAACCAGTTTTACTTCAGCGCTTCAAGCATCTCTCGTCATAGCATTTAATCCATTTCTCACACTCTTCCTCTTCACATATGCCCCTCTATAGGCCTCTAGTTTAGCATTAGTCCTGTCCCACTAACCCCAAAATAAAAGTACAAACTGCTGATATAAAGATGTACCTGTCATCAGTAAAGCTGTCAATATTTCAAATGATATAGTCCCTTAACCAGTGGTCCCTTAGCCATATCCTTATAGATAAAACTAAGTAAAAGATCACAAGGCTCTAATGGCAAGTGCTACTGTTGGTTCACAGCCTCACTGCTTCAGGCTAGCTTATCCACAGATTTGGGTTGAGAATAGTTGCCTGGAGTGGTTCTGATTCATTCCAAATCAGAGAAGGAGACAGCAGTTAATGAATATGGATTTACTTGCTCTCTTCTTTTCTCTTCTTTTCTCTTCTTTTCTTCATTTTCTCTTCTTTTCTTCATTTCCTTTCTTTTCCTTTCTACACAGCAATAGCATCAAGCTATAGCTCATATGATTAAAATATAATACTGGACTCTAACCTTAACTCAAACTCAAGTCCTTGAACTCACCATCAGACCTATACCATACTATATCAAAGAAAGAAGCCCAACATAAGAAAAACCTCACCTTTAGCAGCCAGGGATTGCCCACATTCCTCAGCCTCTGCCCAGTTCCAGTACAAAGACATATACATATATATACACATATATATATAAAGACTAGGTTTAAGGTTCAGAAAATACAAGCTGGTGAACTAAAGGATGTCTTTCTAAATATACAAACTGTCTAAGCCAGGAAGAGATTTTTAGTTTGCATCTCCTAGAGCTGTTAATTTTGAAGCTGAAGGCACTTTGCTTGAGGAAAGACTGTTCCTACAATCAAAGCTGTGGTTCTTGTGCAATTAAAGATGATGCACTTTTATGCCACATATCTGAGATTGCACTTCAAGATTTAATTCAGAACTAGTGTCCCATGCCATCATAAGAAACAACAAGTGGACTCAAGCCACTACCCACTCTCATGAGATGTCTCCACCAACTACCTATTTAATGAACGCTGTTTCAACACAGTCCCTGATCCAAAACATGTACTAGAGCTTAACACTGGACTTGTCCAGCCTACTAGTTCCCACACTAGACTTGTACAAAGAGGCACCTGTCCTTAAGCTGTAGATTACTCCTACAAACCAAACCAAAAGAAAAAGCCCCAAACCCCACCTTTTCACTGTTTTATGCATTTACCCTAATCTTTACTATAATCCTGAATTTAATGATCAAAATCCAGCCATCAAGACCCATGCCCTAACAATGGCTAGTACTGATTGTGGCATCTAGGGTCACATTGCTCACTAAGTGCTAAAGCATAAATGTTTTATACAAGTCACTCAGTGTGTGAGGAAGAAAATGCTTTATAGCAGTCCACACTTAGATATTATCTTTGCATGTGGAAAAATGGCTTATTGCAGGAATTTGTAAGTATATGTGTGTGCATGCATATATGCATGTGTCTCTGTGTGTATGAAAACTGTTTCCTCTATCAGAGATAGTTCCTGTTTTCACCATTTCCCACTGGGAAAAATTTTAAAACAGTGTGCAGGCAAAATAATATCTCTGTTTGAAACCAATTTCCTATCATCTCACCACTTCTCACAGTTAGGAACAAGTGCTATATGTCCCCCACCAAATTACTGGCATTATACTCTTTTCAGCCTGGAAGTACTGTGAAATATTACATGTAAAGTTGCAGAAGTGCTTAGGTACTACATGCCAAGGAACTCAAATTTCAGTGGGATTTTTAGGCATGCACTGACAGCACAGAACAACATATTGTTGCCCTCAGATCAGGCTATGCACAGGAGTGCATGTCTCAACTGCTTGGCTGAGACACCAGCCACCTCTTCCCATACCTCCATGCACATGTGCTTCTGTGGGGAGGGGAAAGATGCCCATGCATGCTGGAACGAAGTTCTGTGACTTTCAGCCAAGTGTGGAGCTAATAAACACTGCTATTGGGTCTACAGGGTGTTCCATGCTTTCTCCACAAAGAAAGATTTTTGTTATCATAAAGTTCCAAGTGGCGTCTGCTTAAAGCTAATTGGATGCTGAAAACTTTTAAATTATTTTGGAGAGGGGCTCTAATATAAATTAAACAAACTTTTTTCTTAATTCAAAACATACAAAGAATACGTTTCTCCATGCAGCTTACAATCACGTTTTGAAAATGTGGCAGGGCAAACATGGTTTATACCTATAAGCTATGGCAGAAATCCAATATTCATTTACTGTTCATATTGCAAGAAAATGAGATCATTAAGGTCAGAAAGAACAGCTGCTTTAATTATAACACCCTGATATATCATATCAAAGTTTTCATCATCTCACACAAACTCTAAGAACATACTCCAGGGATTCATTTCTATCATCCTGTTTTTTCTTGGGAAGGAGATTACATAAGTACACTCTCCAGAGCACTGGTTGCTTCAAGTTGTGTGAGGCTGCGTAAAAGAATTTTACCCCAAGCTTGATAATGCTATGGCAGCTAAAATTAATCTAACTTTTACAGTCTTTATTCCCTCTTTTTGTGGTGGCAGCAGTAGAAGAAGATATTTTTGACAGCTGGGAAGCTGCCCTGCAGGCTTCACGGTCTTACTGCCACATGTCCCCACAGGCTCCTGCTCAGGAGTGCTCGGTATCCACACCTACAGCTGGCAACACTGGTCTGCCTGAGGCACCCAAAGGTATCCCTTCTTTAAGGGAATGGCTGCTTTGTGTTTTAACAGATGCTATGCTTCTGGTAGCGGAGAGATTAGAGGGACCATTCAACATTGAATCAGTCATGGATCCTATTGATGTCAAGATTTCTGAAGCCATCATGAACATGCAAGAGAACAGCATGCAGGTGTCAGCAAAGGTACTGTGTGAGTTGTGCCTTCTCTGTTGTTGAATGCCACAAACGGGGGAGGGGGGAAACACCTCCACCAGTTTTTCTTCTAGACTATTAAGAAAGATTGTCCAGATCATCAGAAATTGTTTTTCCTTGTTCAACAGTTTACCAGACTGCCTTTGAATTCTTCATCTAGTTAAACAAGCTGCGAACTTTTCAAAAAGAAGTGGAAGGGAGAAAGGTACCATTTATTAAACTTCAAATTAATAGCTGTAAGAGATTTAAGGAAAATAGATAGTGCTGAATTCTGTAAGTAGTAATTCTGTAAGCAATAGCCTGCAGAGTACACCTGGTAACTTCCACTAGTGTCTCATCTGTGATTCTCCATATTAACTTCCAAACACATTTTGATCTATCTAGGTCAGACTGAAGCGCAATATGTTTGAGGTGAATACACAAAATGTTCTGTTTAACCTCCTTTAATAGCCACTCGGGGGAAATATTACGTTGGACAGTCTCTGATTACCAGATCTCAGTTTGATAGAGTTTTGTCTGGATTCTGACACAAAGATAAACAGAGCTAATGATACCAGCTTCCTCCCTTCCATTTTTAATGTGTGTGTGTATACACAGATCACGACCAACTCTGAACCCCCTGTTAATAAGATCTTTCCAATTCAGTAGCAGGTACTGTTGAACCAATAGTCAAAAATTAATGGCTCTTCCTTAATATTCATCAGTGCACTGTTGCTGAAATTTTAAAATCAAGAGTTTGCCACGTTCTCTGCATTAGGAGTTTCTATCTTGCGTTTAACTCCCAGTAGTCAGTTGGGTGCTGGCCAGACTGCCATCTGAGTCAGTGAATTTCCATTGCATGGAAGGAAGCTGCTGTAGCTGGGAAAAATGTGGGGACGAAAGACAGGAGGCTGAGGTTAATATTCTTCCTGCCAACCCAAATTACATGCTTTTTATGGCCCCAGTGCTACAGGTTTCTAAGGGTTTCTTTCAAGATGCTTTTTACTTTCAACCTACATGATGTTTCTTGGATTTTAAAAGCAGACTACATCCTGCATGATGAGACTTTGTTCTGGCAGCAGTGATCAAGTGATCCCAAATATTTTGGGAATTAAAGGCTAGCTTCAGCAAACTCAGCCCTTACCTAACAAAAAAATATTTTCACTGAAAACTCACCCAAGGCCCAAGTGTATATAATTTTCCTTTTAACCTGTTTGGTTTTCACAGTTTTTCCATTAGTTGGGAAGCTGCATCTCCTGCCAGAGTCCAATGACATTTTGGCATGAGCTCATCTCACTACTCATTTATAGCAGAGAAGATTGTTTCTCCTGCCCCTCACAGATATTTGCTGTAGAGATTGATTGCAATGCCATTTGTAATGCAAAAGCTTTTCCTCTAAGAGAAACCTTAGCCAATATTTTTTTAAATATTGCAGAACAGAAATTATATCAGTAAAATTTATTTTATTATATTTTCATAGATAACAGAGCTGTCTACCCTTGAGGGACCTTTGTGTATTTCTGTGTAGACCATTATTCTCCTGAAATATGATTTCCTTGATCTCCTTGGTTATATCAATCTTTATTCAGGTCACATGAAAATGCTTTTTTCTTTAAAAAATGTATAAGAAGGCAAAGGCTTTGGTCTTAGTGCTATGCTCTTCTTTGCCATGTCAGATCTGTAGAGATGATAAACGAGCAGACTTCGAATCAGTCCTCTGTTGTCTAATTTTTTCCCCCTATACATACTGACCACTTAGAGCTTCAGTGAAAATGACAGATACCTTGCCAGATGTAATGGGGTGCATGGAATGCAATTGCAGACCTAATGTGGGAGAAAAGCCATGCTTGTCAATTATTCTGAGATGCTGCTCAGAAAGCTTCAGGCAGAGTGTTGAAATCATGTTATTTTCACTTTCTTCAAACAATTTTGTATCTTGTATTTGAGTGTACCTACTGAAAAATGTGGTGACTAGGAATCACAGCTATTTTTCCACAAGTCAGTCAGTGCCTTTTTGCAGTGGGAAAATGGCAATGCACTAATAATGTTATGACTGCAACACCCCACACACATAGATTATTTTTCACCACTGACATGCAGCCTTTTCTGCCTGAAAATCTGGTTGATGTCTGAGAGAAGGCTCTATGCTGTATACGGTATAATTTTACATCGTGTTGTATAATGTTGTTTCTCTTTTAAAAAGAGTAGAAAAAATGAAAACAAAAAGTTTCTTCTCAAGGAGTTCTCACCATTTCATCCTCTTTGTGGGCTAAAGACCCAGAATTCATTTAATCAAATCCACATGCTCCTGTTTCAAATATTTATATGAAATTACCCTGTTCCAAAAGTCATTAACATTAACTTGCACTATCAATTTTTCTTTGTATCACAAAATTATATTTTGTATTATACCAACTGCAATTATATACTGAAGTTTATTTGAGAAAAATAGATTTTTGATATAATACAGTGACTGTCCATTACTGTCCGTATGGAGGCACAATTAAGTGAGCAACAATGTACACTTTCTAGCATAATAAGTGTATACAAATAAGTAACAATGCATGCTCTCATGTGAATGAAGTCTTCAATTTTAAACATCAGCAGAAAAATACAGCATGAACTTTCTAAGTCTCCATTTTTATGGTTTGGCCCTTCATTCTTCTGTACTTGATATAGTACAGAAGGCCTTATCCAGTATCTTTTCCTTATAAATATGCACCTTCTATTCAGCACTATTTTTCTGAGAAATAGTCTTCATGGTTACAGTTATATTAATAAATAAAAGGGGTAAAAGGACCATGCTTGATCTTGGGGCCAAAGTGTCACAGCCTGATTCATTTATGTACTGCTGAGAGCTACCTTCTCTGGAACTGTTTCATTCTGCCAAGAGCAAGTTGGAGCAGTCCAAGAAATAGCCAACAAGTTAACAATTAATCAGTGCAGACAGTCAAGGCTTATGGCTTGAGTTCACTCCTTGTCTCTCATTTCCTTAGAAGACAAAACCCCTCTGTCTTCCACTCTTGATGGGTGCACAGAAAGAGAATTATAGAGACAGAATTATAGAGATGCCACATGTACCAACCAAGGACATACAGACTTATCCACATCCCAGTATCTGTCACTGCATAAAATGGAGCATCTCTGTTCCTAGGCCGTTAACTTTTCTTATTTCTGTGATGATCATGGTTGCTTCTTCTAGCACAGTTCACATTAACCAGGTACTAGTATTATGTTAAGATCCAATTCACTCTGAAGCTGCAATCTTTCTGTTTTCTTAATATTTGTCTGCAGTTTATATTCAGCACTGGCAGTCTAGAAAGTCTGACCCCAAGTCTCTAAGCTTCATGGCTGCTCACCTTGCACATCTGTCATGTCCCTGAATGACAACCACACAAGGTCCTTATTTTGCCTCAGGGAAAGTCCCATTCCTGACAGCTGTGATAACTGGAGATACTTGTCAAAAAAGGATCAATGGTCTAGAAAGTCAGACCTTAAGGCCCATGGCCTTTCTGCAAGAGAAATCTATGTGCTCTAAATCAGACTGAAGTTTCCCTTCTCCGTAAAAAGACAAGGACTGAAGATAATCAAAAGCAGTTTCCATAGATTCATCATCTAACACCTGCAGCCATTCCTAGAGAGCACCTTCTGCAAACCAAACCACACAGAGTGCAAAACAATTAGCCTGGGCTGCCTGAGATGCCTCCCAAGACATCGGTACATTTTAGTAGGCTGTGTGATCTGGGTCTACCCAGACTACAGTGGTGTTCCCTGAAGGTTGCCTGTGGCAGAAGTCAGGGTGGAATAGATTTACCTTGGATATCTTCTTATAATATCTGAGACAGGTTATCTTCTTTATTGAAATCTTTTTGTTATTTGCTAGTGACACCCTTTTGGTATTTGAACAATATAGGAACAAACTCAGCACTTAGCAACATGATGATTATTTCTCAGGCAAAATTTTTACATTTTATATATTGTTTCCCACAGCTCAGCTCATATCCAAGACTTGGTCATAGCACACATTTACCACATTCTTATCCTCATTCTCCCTGAGGAAATTCAGCTAGTCGTATTCAGAGACTCATAAATGCTCATTTCAATCTTGGCCAAAACATGTATGTTTTGATGACCTTCACATTTTTCCTGTTAGGCTGTCAGTATCATTGTCTTTCATTCCTGCTTCAAGTCAAAAAGTAAATGCTACAACTGCTCCATTTTAACAACATGAATGTTTACTAGTTGCCATCTGCAGATATTGGTCATTCACAAGCAGTGGAGGAAAACTCAAAAAACAGCAGAAAAGATGTGATAACATCCTTTTTTTTTTTCTTTCAAAATGGAGAAAATTCCTGCTCTCTTTGCGTCAGCATAATCGTGTCTTCATGGCTACTCAAAACACAACATACTGTACTATTTTCTGCATTTAAAACAGTTTGGTTCTATACAGGTATGTTTGACTGCAATAAGAGTCATTTCACTGCCATGACAATATTTTTCCACTTTCATAAAGTCTATCTCACAACTGAGTTTCCCTTAGTAAGTCTTAAATCTGCTTTTATCTGAGCTGATGGATGTGCCATTTTAACCTATAGATATATGTTCCTTTTCAGCAATTACTTCAGCTAAATGGATGAATGAGTTCCATGACATAGCAGACTACCTATGCATTATTTATAGGGAGGAAATCTTCACAGAACTACATCCAAGGTTCTTCTTAAAATAGTCCACAAGTTTCGTATTAAGAAAACCTCTTCATTTATCTGTGTTCTTTCCAGAGCTCTGTGTAGGAAAAATATAATGGCATTTCAAGTAAAAAAATCAATGCTATTCTATCAGAAGATGAGTCAGAGCAGAGTCTTATACTGGAAACACTGAACATTAGCACATGGCTAAGTAACAGTATGTCTCAAGGCTTCATAGAGAACAAACCATATCCTCCACAAAAGTTAAAAAATTCAAGTTCTCCTGGAAAAGGGACTCTTTTTTTTTTTTACAGCATCTACATCCTAGTCCTGAAATAGATACTTCCATTTAGTCAGCTCAGTAGATGTTATTCTTCACTGACTCTGTTGACTTGCTCTCACTGCTTGGTTCATACCCCTGACCTAGAGATCTGGTCCATTTGAGCTTTAACTGCAGTTCAGTGGGGAATGGTTTTGTGTTAAGACAAACTACTATAGATGCTAATAAGAAAGAATCTCAAGGAAGTTTTGATCTCCACTGTCTAAAATTGAAGCTTAGATGTATAACTTAATAACACATATATGTCCACACATAAATTTAGGGTTCTTAATTTCAAATGGAATCCATTCCCTATACTCAGATGAAATAGACCTCACCAATTATATATAAACCGCAATTTTTTAAAGAGAGTGGAATTATGCTACCAATTCACAGCATATGTAATCAAACACATAAATATTTTTCCTGAAATTGCTAAGTATCTCTGAATAGCATTGTGAAGGAAGTGTTTCATGTGCTTCTTCTTAGGAAACATTTGTTAATGTCCATCATCAGCTTTACAGTTTCTGTTCTGTCAGTTAATACCAGGATGCAAATTAAAAATGTCTCTTGCACTCAAAATTTAGTTACCGAATATTGTATTCTTACTGCATTTCTGCCAGTTCATTTAAAAAGTAAGTTATTTCTTCTTCTGTGATGTAAAAATTACTATCTAGTTTGCATTGCTGTTATTGTCTGACTGTATGTAACATTGTTCATATGAATCCACTTGCTACAACTATTTGTGCGAAGCTAAATGCCACAAAGTCTATTTTGGGATTTTTTCGGTATGTAATAAGAAAGGTGAAATATAAAGTATGCAGACTTACAGTTGCACCACATGGTCATACAAGTAGCTGAACAGTCACACACTGAGACACTTAAGAAGTGCCCTCACTTTCCCCCGAGAATCTAGTTGCATGTTTTGGATAATAGTCCCTTGTCTTTGTAAGGAAATTCCTAATTGCTTAGTTGAATAAATGGGATTTCATAGATATCTAAATAAACAATTATGTTTTCAGCATATCACTTATCTTGAGTCAGAAGAAATGTAAGTAAACTTTTGTAAGTGTAATTCATGCCCTCAACATCTATCTCTAGCCCTTTAAATTGTACAGTATCCCACACAATCATGTCTAAATTCTGAATCCTGTAATCCTATAATCTTCATTGAATTTTCTTCACAGAGGAAAAATAAAGTTCTTTCCTTTCTTTGTTGATTAAATTAATGTATTGTCCAATAGTCTTCATGACTAGGGAAGCTAGAAAATTTTAAAACAGATATTTGCAAACCAGACCAAACAGTATTCCACTCATAAATTAAAAATCCCAATGGCCACACAACAGCTGACTTGCTGGACTTCAAGCAAAAGCAGACCTGATGATTTGGCATATATTTAGTATGAATCAGCTTTTTTCAGCAAATTTTGGATCATTTGGGGCCTTTAAATTAACGTCAGGAAACCTAACTGAAAGCCAATTGTAATTTCTCCCAAAAGAAACAAAAGTCACACCATCCATGGCTACTTCAGGCCAGAACCACTCAAGGCAGAAAACCTAAAAGTCGAAAAGTGAAACATGAGTCTTTTTAATCATGCTCACAACATCACTTGTGAGCTTGTTGTCTTATTTGCCACTAAAGAGGGTTGACCATGGCTGGATGCCAGGCAGCCATCAAAGCCTCTCTATTACTCCCCTCTGCATCTGGAAAGGGGAGAGAAAATATAACGAAAGGTTCATGGGTTGAGATAAGGACAGGGAGAGATCACTCACCAATTACTGTCATGGGCAGAACAGACTCAGCTTAGGGATATTAATTGAATTTGTTACTAACAAAATCAGAGCAGGATAATGAGAAGTAAAACAAATCTTAAAAACACCTTCCCCCACTCCTCCCTTCTTCCCAACTCTACCTGCTCCACCCCCAGTGGCTCAGGGCAATGGGGAATGGGGATTACAATCAGTTCATCGTGCGTTGTTCCTGCCACTGCTGCAGGAGAAGAGTCCTTCCACTGCTCTAGCATGGGATCCCTCCTACGGGAGACAGTCCTCCCTGAACTTCTCCGGTGTGAGTTCATCCCACAGTCAGCAGTTCTCCACAAACTGCTCCAGCGTGGGTCACTCTTCCATGGGGTGCAGTCCTTCAGGCACAGGCTGCTCCAGAGTGAGTCCCCTACAGTGCCACAAGGCCTTCAAGGAAACCTGCTCCAGTGAGGGCTCCTCTCTCTACAGGTCCACAGGTCCCTGCCAGGACCCTGCTCCAGCACAGGCTTGCTCCTGGGTCACAGCCCTTTCTTGGGCATCCACCTACTCCTGCATGGGACTGACTCTACGATGGGTTGCAGGTGGATCTCTGCACCCCCATTTTCCTCCCTGGGCTGCAGGGGCACAGCTGCCTCACCATGGTCTGCACCACGGGCTGCAGGGCCTCAGCTCTGGTACCTGGAGCACCTCCTGCCCCTCCTTCTGCACTGACCTAGGTGTCTGCATACTTGTTACTCTCACATATTCTCACTCCGCTCTTCTCTGGCAGCAATTACATCCACCCAATAACTTTTTTTTTTCCTTCTTAAATATGTTATCACAGAGGTGATTCTATCACTCATGATTGGCTCAGCCTTGGACAGTGGCAGGCTCATCCTGGAGCTGCATGGCATTGTCCCTGCCAGATATGGGGGAAGCTTCTGGCAGCTTCTCAGAGAAGACACACCGTACCTCCCCCACTACCAGAACGTGGCTACTCAAAACGAACTCAGCTGCACAAAAACGGAGTCATTTGGTCCTACAACCAAAACACAGCATCTGCATAGTTTTCACCTCCACAAAGCTCATTCAGACAGTCTGTGTCTGGCATTAGGGTTTTGTAAAATATATCTTACAAGAAATTCTGACATTTAATTTTTTCTCTTCTGAATGAAGGCAAAATGCTGCAACAGGCAAAATACAATGGTCACAAAAAATAAAGATGATTCTAGAACTGAAAAGGTCAGTATGAAGGCATACACTAGAATTCTACTTCCTAAGAGCACTTGAAAATTTTAGCTCTGTGGGTATTCTACCTCTTTTCTGATGTGTAGCTTGAGTCCCAATGCCTTTGGGAAATATATTTGATATCCAGTAGTCAAAAGTGTCCTCTGTATCCTTTAGTACCCATCAGATACAAAATACAGAAACTTTTTTCCAAATGAAAGTATATAAAAAATTTCATAACCCTGAACTGATTATTCTTCATATCTAGAAAACAAACACACTAGCAGAAAATAATTACCACTATTGTCCACTCAGTGCGCCTCAGCCCTCTTCCGGGGAGAGATTGGTAGGGAATAAGGGAGCTATCCAGTTTTAAGACTATTCCATCACTGACCTTTTCTCTAAGACTACAAATAAGATTACAAGGTAGGAAGAGCTATAGGGATTATGACTGACCTCTGATTCTGGGTAAATACCACATTTTAACAAAAGTGAAAACAGTTATCAACTAAGTCCTGCCACAAAGAACATCCTTTTGCTCATTTCTTTTCCTGGAAAGACAGCAATTAAGATATTGTCCTAAATTAAGGGGATTTTAAGGTCCCTATGTGTTTTTAATACCTTCACCAAGTAATTAATAATGCTTAATTATTTAAACGGAGTTTTAAAGCAGGCTAAGCACACTATTATAAAACTGTCAATCAAATCTGGTTTAAAATATACACAAGAAAGAATAAAGAGGCTACAAAATATCAGCTTTCTTTTTTTTACAATTTTCATATAACCAGCAATGTCTCCTTCAGATTTTCCAAGGATGTGGCCAACCTAAACCAGCACCTGGTCTGAGATCTTCCCGTTCTGTCCCTGAAAACTTCAACACCCGCTTTAGACCATATAACCCAGAGGAGAGACCTACAACTGCTGCTGGCACAAGTTTGGACAGGCTGGTAAGACAAAATATATTCCATTTTCATATTAGTAGAAAAGGCTTAATAATATACTAGAAAGTTGCAATCTCCTAGTTTAATAATTTCATAATCACTGTTCTTTCTTTACCAGCTGTTCCAGCATTCAGTAAATCTTTTTTTCTCCATTGGAAATGGTATAGAATTGCATTGTAGGAGAATAATATGACTCTGGTTTTATGTATTAGAAATGTCAGAAGAAGAAAAGCTCTTTTCTGGAGGCCAAAAAACAGATAAGCCATGGCAGGTACTTTGCAGTATAAATTCTCTTTTAAAAATGATCTACAGCAATATTTTAAATTTTTTATTTTAGATTAAAAACAAGTTCTTATGTAATGAGGCCATTTTTATCACTTTGTTCTTGAACTAATACACTTGCAAAGGCACATTAGTTTCACTTTTTTATTTAATTATAAAATTAACACTGCTTTTATTTCCATCCATCTCAACTAAATTGACTTTGATCAGCTAAAACTGCAGTGATCTTGCTTTACTTATTCAATCATTTTGAAAAAAATATACTTTAATATAAGATTATTTTCTTTACTACCAGTCATTGGGTGCACATTTAAGACTTCAATGTTCCTGCTATTTACACATCTATAGATTGATAGAAGGCTAATTACTATAACTGTTAATACCATGACAGGACTCTTCTCTAGGTGAAACCAGTGAGCAAAATCAAAGAGTTTTAAAGCTTCTGAATTAAAACACACTATACTGCATGTCCTCAGCTTATGCTGCACACATGCAAAGCACTGGTCCCTTCAGCTGAAGAGAGGAGCACTCAGGGCTGTAGCTAGAATAAGGGGAAAGGAGCACTCATGTGGAAACAGGTATGGGTATATGGTCAGCTGTACTCCTGGTGGCTGCCAGGCAGCTGCTGACTGCACTAGGGCACCAAAATTTCTTCCTGTGGGTCTGATCGTGAGCCTAAAATGTCTAAAGGTTTCTCCAATATGCAACCTAAATCATTGAGCAGGAACCCAAACATACTAATTCAGATGAGGATCTGGGTATCTTCTGGACACCACCATTCATCAAATTCATTTGATGATCACAGTAGTCTTTCACAGTGCCAAGTCTTTCCCACCACTTCTATCTATGCTGTATTCTGTCTGCTCTATTCTGTCAATCTTTATGGCAATTCAACAGGAAAGTAACATGGCATTTCTAGTCAAGGCATGCGATTACCAGGCAGCAAAAAGCAGCATTTGTTAGTTCTCTGCTCTTCTGGAAAGAGTATATCCTAAATGGTGAAGCTGGGTTATAAATTGTGAAGCTAGAATAGGTTATCCTAAATGGTGAAGCAGAAAAGATGCTTACCTCCATTGCAAACTTAAATCTTTCTACCACAGCACGTTCATAGCCCAGTATAAAATCTCGGGCTAAAAATCTGACTGGCAATTCTCAATACATATTTGATGGACTCTCAATTTCATACTTTCACTTTATATTCAGAGAACCCTCAGAGTCCTTCTGTATTGCTCATAGCAGAATCCTGGGTCTTAATCTAGAATTGGCCAAGGTGAAGTGAAAGGTCACCAAAGCCTTTAGGTTTTCAGTCATGCTTTGTCAAAGCTAGAGGTTGCAAACAGCTGAAATGGGACAAAGAGTATATAAAAGAAGGCTGACGGCACAGTTCAGTTTGTATTATAATGATGATGTAAGAACAGTTCTAGCATTTTTACAATGAAAGAGGCAGGCTTAAGCGACACTAGACAATGACACAAGAATACTTCTAAACACATTAATATTCTTTTTAAACTACAAGTTTCCAAAATACTGAGTAGCATTCTGAATAAAGCAGCCAGCCTTTAAAGGCTGTAGCTAATGAAAGATAATTCAGTGAAAAGTAATTGTCAATGCAAATAAACTTTATAACTCCTGATAATTTCTAGGCTTTGAAAAGGGAGCTTATCTCCATATGATTTAATTTGTTTTGTTCATGCATTATTTCAGAAAAAAAACCAAAGAGTTTAGTGTTGCTGCTGTTGTTTTTTAATATGTTCAAACAAATTTCCTCTTTGCTGTTTTCGCTGATAGTATTTAAAATAATAACTATTTATGGTCTGTTAGTGGTGAGTGTTGGTATCAAATACATCTTCAAATGGCAGTGATGAATGTGTTGTCTCCTTCTGGGCTGAGACCAACAATCCCTCAATTCAGAGATGGCCACTGACCTCATCTGGGGCTGGGGAAGGTTTTTTGTGTGGATTAAAGCAGAAGACCTTTTTTCAGAGCTGTAACCCCTTAGCAGCACTTGGGAAAGGTCACTGCCTGCATCTCACACTTTCTTGGGTAATTTTATCCAGAAGCGTATAAATGCTACACTCCTGCCTCAAAGAAACACCATTTAACTGGTCTACATCAGAACCTTAGCATTTCATGTGCTGAATCATTCCCTGAATGACATAGCTATCTTCATTAACTATAGCCAGAGCTCAGAGGACCAGCTTCATTTAGGTCCTCCTAACCCTTGCATTGCTAACAGGACATAAGGAGAACCCCACTCACAGCAGTTTTCCTGTCTACACACTGGTCATTTTCTATTGCTTACTTAATATAAATGTACTGCAGTATTGGTATTTTGATGGTAGTGTCAAACAGTTAAAGATCCTTTTGATTACCATAGATATAAGAAACAAGTCTTTTCTTGAAGTCAGCTGACTGTTTAGTGTTATGTTAATGTTTTGGAGTTTGTATTCATAAAATGCTGCCAGACAACTTAAATCTAAACTGTCACTGCAAAGTCCAAACATGCAGTTACATAAACCTCAAAAGAAGTGACAAACAATTCTGCTTTTATCTGTCTTTGACGGGAGAAAAAAACAATTTTAGAAAATACTTCCTCTGCGTTTCAATCTTATACAAAAATGTAGCCCATCTAAACCAATTTTTTTTTCTCCTACTCATAGCCCCATTTCTAAGCTCAATTCAGTTAATCATATTTTATCAGGTATGTTGCACAAAGCAGCCCTTATAAGAAGCCTGCACTGAAATCGCCCAGTACTGAACCCATCTGAGAAAGTGTTCCTTCATCCTTGCCTGAACTATGTGATTAATCCAGCTCTTCTGTTCCAAAATGAGAGAAAATAGTTTCCCTGTGTTATTGCCATAATTGTAACAAGTAAGGCTTTACAAATAAGAAGTAGCTCACAATAAATTAAGAGAAATATGCAAAAATATTAAATATACCCCAAAAGCCATGGTATATGTGGCTTCAAAAGCATCAGATGTATTCAGGAAGTTATGTAGAGCTTGAAAGACTTAATGGATGTAAAGCATCATCTGAGACATCTCAGAGTATCTGAAATATGGGACCAGCAGATATGGCACAGAACTAGAAGAGACAAGTATACTTCTGGGGCAGCAGTGGGGAGCTGGCTAGAATACACTACAGCAGCTCAAGCAATTCAAGTTACTTATGCTAAGGCATTTCAATCACATCGTCACAGTACTGGGCCTAAAAGTCAGGCTCTCTCTGAGGTCAGTGCAGAGAGACATACTTTTTTGGGGAGTGATTCACACCACATGGCACAGACACTTCTCTCAGACTGGGAAAAGACTGGGTAAAGAAAGGCTTGATTGCTATACCGACATGTAGATATGCAAGACTGAGATGCCTTGGAGTTTGTAAGACACCTAATTGAGCTGGTAGATAGGACAGTAATTTGGGATGCTTATGCCCTTCTGGACTGGCAGCTGAATTCTGGATAGAACACGCTAGAGGATGTCCGCTATGTGACATCCAAGTGGGAAAACAGAACTGAGGCCCAGCTCTTCTCTGCAGGTTCCACTGGGTAAAATTCAGCTACATGAATATAGTCACCCAATGATCTTTGAGACACCATGGTCTTTAAGATGTCCAAAGGTGAAAGTGAAGTCACAGGAGACCTGGCTGGAAGTAAGATGGAATATCTTAGAGCTACTAAATCCACTTGCTCTGTCTATATTTAGATAACTATATTCCACCCTATTTCTCTACTGTAACAAGCAAAAATGAGGACTTTTCTGATTCAGTATAGAGATCCATAGTGCAGATACCTATAACCAAATGCCCAGATTTGAGTCTGGATGGTTGTATTTTTTACCGTTAACACAGGGAAATAAAGGCCTTCTTTCAGTTTTCTAAGCATGGGTTTAGGCAACTGAATTGAGATCAAATATTTCTAAAGTACAATTCATCTCATCCTAAAGAATATATTTGAACAGTTTAGAGAAGTCTTTTCATATCCCTCTACTACAAATTGACCACCTTAGTTTAGGCATCTAGCAAGTACACCTGAATATAAGTAAATTTAAAAACTGTCAAAATTTAAATAATTTTAACCACTGAGCTCACCTGCTTCTGTAGAGCATGATCTAAAGTTTCTCATTTAAAATCAACTGCTTATAAAGATTCATTATCTTCTCTGTGGTTGCCTGTTTGGTATAACCTGTGGTTTATTTTGTTTTGTTTTGTTTTGTTTTTCTGTTCCCTGAATCTGTTTCCCTCTTGCTTCCCAGAGGACTATCTGGAGGACAATGCAACATGGTGTAAGCTTTGGTATTCTTATTCTTCACTTCATACCCATTTGTCTTTGTACAATGCTGGACAAAACACTTGTTTAAGTTTCATCTTCACCATATTTACTTGTGTGTGTGTGTGCGTGTCTTGTAAGCTAAAATGCTAGCAGTTCTTTCTGTAATTTTGTAATCTGGCTGATTTTATTCTACCCAGTGCCCAGAGCTTCTGGAGCCTTTCAGTATTATTTTCTCACCTCAAGGATGATGCCCCGCCCCAGAAAGGAGTGTATGCGTTCCCTCAGTGACCTAAAAACTGACATAAGCATCTCCACAGTCTCGGACCCCACAAATGCATGTGGAGCAAAGCAGACACTGTGCAGTGGCATTCAGCTCTGAGTCCTGTGCCTGGAGCAATGGAAATGAGCTCCCAGGCCTTCCTGGGCTCTCTCCATAGAATCGTCCATGTCTTGCTG